ATCCACCGTTACCTGATAGCCTATCTCCAGACATTACTGATTTTCTGCGCCAGTGCTTTAAGAAGGTATGGAAGATAAATGAAGCTCCGATTTTGTATTTCAACTATTTCTTGATCTTTCTAAAGTTTGTCACGCATGAGACATGCTTGGTTTTACAACAGACAGAGTACACTTAGTTATTAGTCGGGAAAGATCTGTTTTGATGGGAATGATATGATCTTATAACTTTGGAATCTATGAAGACCAAATGCAATCAGTGACACTTGGAGTTATACAATGAGTAATCATTCTTCTAGCTGTAAATCTTTAGGTAGAAGGAACCATCAAGACGAAATGAAACTAACAAAATGGAAGGAAAATAGAATATCCTGATATATTTCTTAGACTAATTGATACTCACGCGGCTAAAAGAATATATGGCCTAAAATCTCAGTCCTTAGTTTATATGATAATTACCGGAGTTCAATGGATGTCATATAATGTGATGATGGTTGCTGATCAGACCACCGCAAATCTTCGCTTGACCCGAGTCTTTGATAATTTGTTAACTTGTTAAATGAGGCTTCATTGATTTTTCAGGATGCCAGACAGAGGCCTGATGCAAAAACACTTCTTTCTCACCCCTGGATGCAGAATTGCAGACGTGCTTCGCAGTCTTCTTTGCGCCAAAGTGGAACCATCAGGTATATATGCTACAGTATGTGTGTGTAATGTGTTTTGGGAGCTGCCCTGGCATTATATTTCATTTCTATGATACCTTTGTTCTGGTGTTCCGTTAATATTGGTCTTTTTTCCTTCATAAGCAGCTCATAAAAGATATCCAAACCTTAGATTTTTCTGCTTTGCAGGGTTGACAACTAAATACTTTTTAAACATTTCATTTTGTGTTCTATTTACTCCTATTATATCTCATGATGATTTATTCCCTGGTTGTCAGAAACATCACGGTAGATGTTGCAGAAGATGCAGAAAGATCTAATGCAGATAATCGGAATGCTGAAGAGAATATTCCAGCGGAGAAAGCAGACGCATCTGAAATGGTGAGAACTTCTTCAGCCTGAACCTTTTTTAAGAAGCAAGCCTTAGCTAAAGTTGAAAGCGACAAGAGAAATTAACGAAAATTTAAAAATTGATAATAATTTAAGTTTTTTGAAGTCTAATGTTTAGTTTTTCAAATGGATTGATGCAAGAGGATGTTGATTTCCCACATTAATGAATTAATCTTTTGATTGTCAGAGCTCTAGGAAAGAGGTATCATCAACAGAGGCCACTGATCGAAGCAAGGATGATCGTGATCATTCTGCAGATGATACACCTGAAGAAAGGATGAATAATTTAGAAGATGATCTACAATTAGATAAGGTTCCAACCTTGGCCATTCATGAGAAATCATCATTACAGATTAGTTCTGGTAGACTATCTGTTAAGAATGTAGTGACTGCACTCGGTTCTGGTCATCATGATGTTTCACATCAAGGTGAAGCAATGATAAATGGTGATGTCAGCTCACCATCAAGAAGGAAACATATGGAAATAGGACAGGGAGGCAACAGGGATCAAATTGATACTGAGAATAAATCATTTGGCTTTGTAGCTATAACTCAGAATGCTGGTCTGCAGAAGGTACTGCTTCATGCAATGGTGCTAGTCTCTGAAAAAGTTAACAAATTATTTTAGGAGTTTTTCCGTTGCTGATACTCCTTGGCCGTGTGAATACTTAGGGGATTATTTTAGGAGTTTCCCCCCCTTATGACTGAAGTTATATTTCTGACATCATAAGGACTAGATATGATTTTGTAACCAAAATATGAATTTGTATTTATTCCCAGTAGTTATGTGATTCCTGCTGTCCTCTTGTCTGTATGTTTTGGATTTCTCTCTATTGAACTTGTTTCTGGTGTTGGAGAGATTTAAAAGCTTATTTTTTCTTTGTGCCATAGGCAGTTGAGTTCAGCAGATTAGTTGGCTCACTAAGACCGGAGGAATCAGAGGATGCAATTGATACTGCATGTCAGAAGCTCATATCGATCTTCCGCAAGCGCCCTGAACAAGAAATTGTTTTTGTTACCCAGTGTGGTTTACTGCCTCTAATAGAATTGCTTGATGTCCCCAAAATTCGTGTATGTCAATAATGAGGCTCTCTTCCTCTCCCCACCCTACCCCTGTCATATTTAAAAAAGAAGAAAAAAGAAAACCTCCCTCTTCCAGTCTTCATAGCTGGGAAAAGGGTAAAAGAGAAGGTTCTTAGACTGTTACCAATTTACTTATTGGCTTGATAAGGACCAACTGACAAAGTTACTATTTATTGCAATTGCAGTATATGTTCAGTGCTTCAACTTATTAATCATATTGTGAAAGAAATTACCGATTTCCTGAAGAATGCTTGTCTTGTTGGCTTTGTAAGTTCTACGATCATTTAGCTTTATTTATTCACATATATAAGATTAAGAGTGGGCACGGTGTGCAGTTGCTACATATTCCCTCATTAGGTCGGGACCTAAAAAAAGAGTTCCATTTTATTTTCCTTTCGCCCCTTTTGGATAACAGTATCATGGCACTTTCGGAACATGTGCAGTCTTCTTCTTACACACTAATGCCTATTAACATTAGAACTTTTAAGGAGTTGGTGGAGAGAGTCAACTGTTAATGAGGCATCTCCATAGCTTTTAGAATCCTTTGGTTGTTGCAATTCATGTGCATAAATGTTTTTGTTTGTATATATGTTTCGGTTATGTGTTTCTATCGCCTTTTGGATTCATCTTTTGAACTGAAATGGGATAGGGGCGGGGGAGAGTGATTCTATTGTAGTATTTATAGTTTATTCACTCTCAAGTTACCTTATAGATCCCTTTGGCTATGAGTTTTGCGGGGCCTGATCGTCCTCGGGAAATTAGGATAGAGGCAGCTTATTTCTTGCAGCAGCTTTGTCAATCAAAGTGTTGAGTCATCTCTTTTATTTATTTCTGTTGCTTGATATCCTTCTTAACTGACAGAAATGAATTATACTGACCATATTGGTTCCTTCTCCATAGCTCATTGACTTTGCAGATGTTCATAGCTTGCCGTGGAATCCCGGTTTTGTTTGGTTTTCTAGAGGCTGATTACGCAAAGTACAGGTTTGTGTGCATGCCTGTGTGAGTTTGTTGATGCAATAATAGATAATATGGATTTTGATGTATGACAGATGATGACTGTATACCATTTTGGGAACTCTAAAACCAATCGCTGAAAATCATTATTCTCAACTTTATGATGCACTCTACCCACTTTTCTTCTACCTTTCTCCTTTTTGCGTATTTATATTTTTAAATGCTCCAGTGTGTTTGCTTTCTATACTTGAAAAAATTGCTCATTCCCGGCTCCTTACACAGGGAAATGGTTCACCTAGCAATTGATGGCATGTGGCAGGTCTTACAATTCAGCGATCAACCCCGAGGAATGATTTCTATCGGATAGCTGCTAAGAGTGGGATATTACTGAGGAATGATAATTTCGTAACAAATGCTTTAGAAAATCATGTGAACTCGTGTAATAGCTCATCTTTTTACCAAGATCTTTAGAGTTCGTAACTGCTACCAAATTAAATTCGGTTTGCTAAATTAATGGACAATTACTCTCTTTCATGAAACATGGATTATGAACCCATTGAGTAATCTCAGTGACAAAAGAGAGTGTTGTTCTCCCTAGACGACTCGGGTTTGAGTAGCTGTGTCTATAAGGTGTGTGTTGTCAATGATTAAGAAAGATTTTGAACATATACTACCTTATAATCATCCCAAAATATTTTAAAAAATATATGAAACATGAATTATTCTATCCTCGGCTGCCCTCTTCCAGTCCAAACATCCACATGCATACTATATTTGCCATTAATTATGTTACTCATCTTGCTTCCAACATTTTTTTTAAAAATTTTTTGGAAACCAACATTTTACTTGCATTGTGTTGGCTGCCAACATTATGAAGCTCCTTGAAGTGAGCTAAACAAACAAACAACTTTCCCTCTGTTAGTCATCCAAGCGGTTATTTTTCTTTTCTGATGTTGGCAGTCTGTTTACGAGCACCACCCGCGGCCGAAACAATTAATCGTGGAGAACGATTTACCACAGAAGTTACAGAATCTAATCGAGGAACGGAGAGACGGGCAGAGGTCCCGAGGCCAAGTGTTGGTGAAACAAATGGCTACTTCGTCGCTCAAAGCCCTTCATATTAACACAGTATTGTAGAAAAAAAACAAGCTAAGAACTTCACTCATTCCCTCCCATGTATATGTTTTATTCTTTAGGAAGGCAATGGGTTTTTTTCTTTTTGGCTAATTATTTGTCCCCTTTAGTTTGTCAGCAGGGTATTAGGAAATTGTTATAAAATTCCAAAATGCCCTTTTCTTCTTTCCTTTGGCCGCGGCTGTCTTGTAGACATGATATTTTGGACAATTATCTCACGCAATATAATTTTTTTTAATTTTACATAGATTTAGTCACACAATGTTATTTTTTTTCGTTTTACATAGATTTAAGACCGTTAAATGAGTAAAACTAAATGACTAAGATCGACTCATTAATTTTTTTCTCCGGTGAATATCTTCTTATATCTTATTATCAATCTCAACCATATATTTTCACTAATTCAATAGTCATAAATTTGTGTAAAATTAAAAATAAAACAAGATCTTATCCCATTTGTATATACCATATAACAGCATCATATCATGTCTACATATCGTATAACAGCATCATGTCATGTATACGTCTAATGTAGTACACGCAAATTTCTTATAGACCTTTGTTGTGTAAAACTATACCACTAACCAGAGAAACTCCGCATTTACACCGTAATTTTTTTAAATTAGACCAAATAGAATTTAGATCACAATTCTAATATAAAATGACTAATGACATTACATAAATGATCAAATCCTAAATTTAGATATAGGAATAAATTCCAAATTTAAAATTATAGTTTGATCAAAAATATAAAATTACTAATATTTATCAATTAAATATTAACATCCAAAACGTTAATTTTACTTCGCTGAAAAAATATTTATATAATTTTCATCTGAAAAATAACTCCAAGAGCAAAATCCAAGCAAAAGTTACTTTGTTTAAATCTGAAGGCAGTAATCTTTGTCATTTTGGCAACCACTTCAATGGCAATTTTGGCCAACACGTCGCTTAGGGTCTAGGGTTCTTCATCCAAACACTTGGGGCACCTGCATCTAAAGCCGTAATCCGCAAGCAATGCCTGCCTCTCTTCGAATGAAAGGTCCTCGTCTATGTATGAAATTGTCACCTGAAAGAACCATTCATATGCTATCTTGGTTCTCATTTAGATTTTACAGCCAACACTTAATAAACAAGATGACAAAGGAAAAATTACCTCCTCTCCCTTGCAAATAGGCCGGAGGGCGACAATTGTCGCTTGGCCGTCTCTATCCTGGAATCGGAATTATAAATGAAGGTTAAGGGACCAATGAGTGAAGCTATTTCGTACATGCTCCCAGAAAGAAGGTATATAATAAATAGTATGTTTGGACATCATGCAGATTAAATAGGAAACATATAGACTAAAAATTGATAAATGACCCTATACATTAGTAAGAACCAAAACAAGCAATCTACTAGTATATTAGATATTATTACAGCATAAACGTACCTCTTCTCTTTTGAATGCTTTAGCATTAGGACAGCAAGAGTGGTTCATGCAGCTCTGTAAAGGAAAGAATGCCGTACCTACAGAAAATTTAAAAATAGAATAAATTAGTCATTGCACGACTATAAATGGATGGCTGAAATAAATAATATGTAATCCAGCACTTTCTACAAGTAGGCAGGGATACGTATAATTGTATGAAGGAATTACTTGCATGCTACGTTACATGGAGTTGGGTGTGAGTTCTGGATACAGGTATGTACTCAACATAAGTATGTTCATTTTTTTCCCGAGTCCTTTATATGGGGGATCCTTGATAGGTCATATTATCCCATATCCTTATTGGAAAATGCAGCCAGAAACAGGAGTCATACATTGATACTCCAAGAAAAATGAAGAGTCGGAGCAACATAGCTTGCGTGCATCAAGGAAAAATAGAATTCAACTGAAAGTGGACACTTTCAGCCGCATATCAGGAAGCATGAGAAACTGGAAGACATTATTTAGTGCTCAAAGAGGGTTTTTACCTTGGCAACAAATGGAATAATCTTCACCAAGAGCATCCAGATATGGTTGTGTAATTTTCTCAGCTTCTTTCTGCCACGAATGACATAGGAAATGACACCAGATATTCATAATCCAAAGAAAATTATTAGGCAATCAAAAGGGAACGCCTTCTAACCTTTTCAGAATGTGGAAGATCATCGATGTACAAAAAGTAATCTTCCACCGGAGATGCTACAACCAGATCACTGTTACAGATGGAACTCCAAATCACTACTTGAAAGCCTCAAGCAAATTAGAAATATGATTAACATGCCATGTAATCCATGTTTATCTACCGCTACTATGATACTTACCACGCACAAAGACCATGCAATACAAAAAGTAAAAAAGGAATAACAGAACTTACAGATTATTGAGCTCAAACATGCCGATAATCTGCCCGTAGATTTCAAGGGAGAATACTTGATAAGGTTAAGGACTATACTTCCATTAATTAAGAACAACATTGCTTAGAAAATAACTACATTAATTGCATTGATGCTCAGAGACAGGATACATGGCTCACATTCCTTGTCAAAAATGGCTTCCTTGAGGAGCTGAAGTGACTGAAAATGTTCGAAATAACCAGTTAATGTAAGACTTTAAGGAGAAGAAAAAATGACTACTAAGTCAGCTTAGTATTTGCATGTTACATGAACCACCAACACTAGGAAATCTTACAGTAAATGCAAGCTCCCGAATTTGCCCCCTAAATGTCCCTTCATCAGACGCATCAATGTCATCTGGCAAGGAAATACAATCCCACCACCTGTGGGAAGAAAAAGTTAGCGGTCTTCTTTTTAACTAAAAAGTATCAAAATACCTTCCAATCTAACGCTAATATTTACTTTCATACAGCAAATATAAAGTATTCACTGGAGAGTTTAATTCTCAAATTACAGAAACCTGATTGACGAGATGCTTATTCCTGGATTTATAGATCCAAGATATCAAAACCGTAAAAAATCTATTCCTAGGCATTACATAGAAAATGATGTCAATGACAGTTACCTTCTCTTATGTCCAATTGATATTGGCTTCCAAGCCTCCAAAAGTAAGGATGGATCAGTTCCTAAGATAATAGATGCAGTGTTCTCTTGTTTGCTCAGATGAGATGCTTTGAACTTCCGATACCTTAATATGGTGAAAGAAATTGCCTGCAAAATGGAAATCAAGGAAATATGTCCATAAATACTCAAGATAAAGTGAACATATAAAGCACCCTACTTTGTACTCCAAAGTCCAATGAAAATTCAAAGCCATGCCAAAAACTAAAGCTAGAATGGAGAAGTTAACAGTTTTAGTACCTTGGCAGCAAGGAGGAAAATGTCATTTGTTTCTGAGAAAGTTATGATACAAGTTATAATAAGTAAAAAACTATAACTAAGGTAAGAAATGACACAAGTAAACGGGAACTTCATTAACATTAATATTGTATAATATAAAAGACTTACCATTGGCATGTTGTATGAACTTTAAAAGTGCGTCTCTAGAACAAGACTCTGATTTCTCTCCAGTACAAAGTAAGCAATGAAATGAATCCCAATCAGCCTCAGCGCACAATTTGCTATGCCATTCAAAGAAAAATAATTGTTAGCTTATAAAGGTTAAAAATTTTAGTGACATAAAAAATAACAAATTCAACTAACCTACAATAGAATGCTTCTTCACATCCGCCAGGGCACAAAATGATAGAAGGCAAGGGAAATTTGTTGGAATAAGGCAATGCCATTTCACCATTCATTAACGACTCAACAGCCATTGTAGGCAAAGGAATAGTACTACTAGAACTACTAGAAGCTCCATTTTGCTCACTACGGTGATTATAAGCAAATTCATTGTCTTCGACTTCATCAGATGAATTGCTTTCACATCCATTATGCGAAGAAATTCCTATTCCTAGTGTTTTCAGATAGAATCTTCGTCCTATTTGTTGCTCTATTGAACCAATAAATTTGAAACAGTAACTACAAACTAAACAATCAATCTGAAAATTTGACAAAAAATAAAAGGTAAGCCATTAAACATGAATTAAGGAAAGAAAAAACGCATAATGAATATGTCAAAATGACCTTGTTCGAAGGATGCTGAGCTCCAACGAGCATTTGATCCTTGAAAACGAGTTCTTCTTCTTCAAAGTCCGTTTCGGCAAACACACCTACCGAACAAATTACTCGATTATAACTTCGAATAAATGTAATTAATAGAAAATAAAACAAAAATCATAAAATTGTACCTTTTCCAAATTCACCGTTTTGTTTCACTTTGATGCCTTGGCATCGGCGTTTCGAAATAAGCTGTTCGAAATACTCCTGCGTTTTGATGAAAGTACAGAAACGGACTGAACTGAATAAGCTAGAAAAGAAGAAGGAAAAGGAGAAAAATGAAGAGAAGGTGGAGTGCCTGCCTGGACTAAGGGAGGATACGGCGGCCGGAGAAGGGAGGTGATTTGATCAGAACAGCGTTGATCGATAGGGCAAATCAATTCCATAGCTTTGCTGTTGCTGTGCTGCGGCGGCGGCGCTACTGCTTCCACTCGAGATACAAAGTCGACTCAGTGATATATATTTGACGGCGCCAGAAAAATCAGGTGCGGGTATGACCTCAGTACTACGGTGCGTGCTATTATTTCTTGAGCATAAACTGGATTTTTCTAATATGTAACGAATTAGATCATATCATGTGATAGAAAAAAATTAAAAACAAAAATTTTTAAATTCATAAAAACAAATCATATTCTAAAAATATATATATTTTAAATTTATTTTTAAACCTATAGTTTTTGTAATTATGTTTAATTTATTTTTAAAAATAAAAAATTATTAAATAAAAATCTAATTTTATATTAAAAATATAGTTTTAAAATATTATTTAGTGTTTTTTAAAATATTTTTTTTTATTTTTTTTAAAATATCTAATTTCTTAGCCTTTCATGATATGTGACTTATTTTGATTGGACGTCAAAATCATTTTTAATTTTTAAAAGAGCGTTGGTCACGAAACATAAGATTAATTTTATTTTAGGAATAAAATTAATGAAATGTAACATTACTCTTATAATTTTATATTATTTTGTTTGATTTATTTAGCAAGAATGTAATATTATAATGTTTGGTTGGAGGAATATAAGATTAATTGAATGCATATTTTATCAAATTATCATTGTGATATATATTTTTTTTCAACAAGTTAAATTTTAATATTAAATTATAAATATTTGAATGAAAATTTATAGAAATATTTTAACCGTTACACTAACTTTTGAGGAAAAATACATTTAACATATAATTAATATAGTTAGCATATTAAAATTATATTTTTAATAACTCAAAATTAGATATTGTAAAATATTATTTTACAATAATATCATTTTTCACCTCATAAAAATATAAATAATTAATATATAAAATATTAAAAACATAAAATAATTTTAACTACTCAATTTTATTAAATCAAATTATTTATCTATTATTTATATTTATAATTTTGAGTGAAATGCGAAGAATAAGATTTGAAAAGGATTCATATGAAAAGAATTCATTATTTTAAGGGTATTATTGTCCAAAGTGGTAAAAATTGTATAATACTTAATAATTTGGAGATAATGACATTCCTACAATTTAAACTAAAAAAAGGTTATTATTTGTAATAAGTTATTACCTGGTAGTAATCTTTTACGTTAACCAAATGTTGAAATATGATTCAGAAAAAAATATTCCTCATAACAGTAATCTTTTCCGTGAACCAAATGTCTCATGATAGTTATAAGATAAAGTGGTAGAATGATAATACAAGGATAAATTACCGGCGGGGAGGAGGGGGGATAGTGCAAGGACCAAAATGAGACTTAGGCTAAAGTACATGGATAACTAACTATTAAGCCAAAAAAATATATGTTAAAATGTGAATTTAATCAACACTATATATTTTTTATAGTATTATCCTTTAAGAAATAATGTATCAAACAATCTAATTACATGCAGTATTTAATTTTTAACGTGTCAGTCATATTTATAATTCAAATTCAACATTCTTAGGATTATGAGTATATCCATTTCTTTTATCTTTTAGAATTTCAATAGCATAAATGATTACACCTTTGTGTTTTGGGGGGAAATGGGAATCTGATGGCAAACAACAACACCAGGTATGCGTCTGACACTGATATAATCTGGAATTTTTTTTTCATATATTCGGAGATGATCGAAGATCATATTCCGATACCTATACATCATACACAAATCCCGGACACGAATACATAAAACAAATGAAGAATTGAAGTAACATAGATCATAAATGCATTGCTTTGACTTTAATGCTTTAATAGGATAGTAGTAGCTTACCCATGTTCTTCCTTGTAAAAGATGAACATACAGAGGTGATCTATTGATCTTGAATATACATGCAAAGCTGTTAGCAAAGAAAAAATCAGCTAAATAGCCACATAAGTAAAGTGGTTTTACCATTAAACAAATCTCCGCTGTTCTGCCAGTTCATTTTTCATGAAGTATCGATGTTCGACACTTATATTCGAACAAGGATATAAAAGTCTAATGAGTATCGTACATACCTGAAATCCCAATCCCGTGCCACATCCCAGTAAAAAGAATACAACGAGTTCAAGACACTGGCAAGAAGCCAAAGAGGGTGATAAAAAATTGTCCAGCTTTCGTGCAAGACATGGTATTTAAGGGCGGCAGGTACTGCAGTCGAATATTTTAACGCTGTCAACATAAGAAAATGAAGATATTATGATACCGAAACAACAATACGACCAGTAATATAGGATAACAAGTTGATAACTCGAGTGGTATCTATGATCTGTTTTTCCTTAGACAGGGTGTTACAGTTTCAGTCTTTCATTTATGATCCCATTTTACATTGTTCCGACTCTTCATTTCAAATTCGTGTAGGCTTGACAGTTCCACAACAAATCCACTGAATTCTCACAAAAAACATGATAAATTCAAAACCAAAGTAATGACATATGGAGGAAAGCAGTGGTGAAGGGGGGAACATTGAAGGATCATATATTGAAAGTTTCGAGAGACGTGCCATTTAGAAGTGATGATCTTTCATTATAATATTGTCGAAGGCATTGGAAAAAGCAGAAAAGATAAGGTAAAACAAGAACCAAAGGGATTGCAATGGAGTGACTGCCGCAAACAGAATCAGCCTCAAACCAGGCAATGGTGGAAACCCTCATGCACACAAAAAAATCTCTATCAGGATGATAGAAGGAAAACTTGGGAGTTATCATCGAATAAAACATACAAGTGAGAATACTACAATGACCATATTTTTCAAGCTTCTTTCCTAAGTTCGAAAATAAGTTTATTTAAAAAAAGGTAAGGCAAAGGATAGTTGAGGTTAATTCTGCGCTTCATATCCATGCCTCATAAAATCAAAAGAAACCATGTATAATTCCAACAGTCCTAATAGTTACCTATATTTCAGCTAATTTCTGTCAACGAGTACAAGGATAAGACTGAGACAAGAGGGTTCAACTTCAAAAAACCAACAGTCTTTCTGAATCAAATTAAAGGTAAGTAAAGTGATGGTTAAGAAATAACCATGGTTCTAAAGGCTCATTAACTTCTATCAATACAAATGAAGCATCCGTTGAGTTTTAAAACTAATATACAAACCAGTAGGTGGACCATTCTACAAACGGAACGCTCTATATCAGAAAACACCTGCACAGAGTTTAAAACCATTAAAAATCTAAAATAAGAGAAATTTATACGCTAACCATCCTTTCTATACATAGGTGGTCACGTGTCCCACCAAAAATTCATTAATCCATTCGTACAACATAAACCATGAAATAGTTTGAAACATATTTCAGAGGTGCGTCATCATCTTATCAGATAATACAACAACAATAACATATCAATCCTTTTATTACTACAAGCAAGTGCGCAGCATGTATCATATTGCACTATTTTGCACAATTCGGTTATAATTGAATCTTTAGTAAGTTTTAGAAAAATTATAAGAAAAAGCAACATTCTTGGTTTCGAAGCACTTCTCAAAACAGAAAGATAAAATGACAATGAAAAAATATTATCGATAAAAACAGCCTAGTTTGTAACAGATGCTTCAGTTAGGAGCCATACCTTTGCCATGGAGGTCAAAATATCAGCCAAGAAGAAGTCGGAAAAAGTTACTGTCTGCATTCACCATATCAACTTAAGATTAAAATACAGCATATAGACGCAGGTGTCAAAGCAAGAAATAAAATATAAAAATTAACATAGTTCACACATAAAATCCAAGCTGTATCAGGATTTAGTAGGTTAAAAGATTCCACATGATTAGGTTCAATCCAAGATCCTTATAAGAGTTTATGTTGCAGACATGGAATTTGACACTCAAGAATGCCATGTCCCTATTCTTAGAAGGAAAAACATGATGCAGAAATCAATTAAACTTCAAACAGATGAATCCTGACTCGCTTATCAGAATCATCAAATTATATACAAGTTAGCATCCATGTGTGATCATAGTTCAGAGATGGAAACTTCATCACATTATTACTTGTTAGGTTTTAATAGATAAGAAAGCAATTATAGAGAGCTTATGCATCCAAATGTCATGAGAATTAACAGATCATTAAGTTACCGACATTAGCAAAATTATCAAATATGTCAATGGAGATTACAAGCTGACCAAACCTGTAATGGAAGAACAATTAGCCAAAGAGTCCTTAGCAAGTAGTATCGAGATGAAAAATAAAAGATGTCGAAAGGGAATATAAAAAGCATAACGACTGCAAAATATAAAAGCACCTGCAGTAGAAACCATTTTAAATTTAGTGAAGAACAGAAATGGCAAGGGGAATGGTTTTGTTTAGAATCTTTCATAAACATGCTGATACGTGCATAACAAGGCTCACATCAAAGGAAGAAGTAATAACTCTTTCAAATGATCCACTCGTCCAAGCATTGGAAAAGAAGATCAGAACAGAAACAGACTTGCGATGACTTTTTGAATGGGATTCTGATCTTATTTGGTTAATATGCCCTCTAGAGATACGACCGTATGTCTCTTATCTTTCCAACAGTTCTTGAATCGCATCAATCCGATATCAGGAACTCAAGATATGGCCATTTTACTGAAGACGATGCATGCAGAAAATCCTATACGGGATTAATACGTAATTTTGTAAATATTACGAATTTTCAATATTTATATTAATTATTTGTAATATAATTTAATATAGGATGATCAATTATCTTTTAGGATCAGATTTATTATTTTATTAGGAATTAAGGTTGGGTTAAAACAATATTTTTAGTTATTATTATTTTATTAGGAATTAGAGTTAAAACATGTTTAGTTTATTATTATTTTATTCTCTAGTTATTTAGAACCTTTAGGATTCAACTCCTATATAAAGGAGGCTTCATTAAACTTTGTAAAGGAAGATTTCTTGATTAATAATACAACGAGAGTTCGTTTTTGCAAGTGTTGATTGCCTTGTGCCTTCGAAGCTTCTTCTCCTTGAGTTCTTTCAAGTTCTTGTGAGGGAGATTAATCTTCACACTCCAATTTGCCTTTTCATCGCGACTAGGAGGGTTGGTTAGAGTCATATTATCGTGTTTGTCTTTTC